CTAAGTCTAACTATAGGATTTATGAAAAAGGAAAGTCTTCAGTCTAATCTTAAAAGTAGACAGAGTGGAGTAACAAAGAAAAATAAGAAAGCTCAATATTTTTGTATTTTTAACATCTGTTCATCACTTTATAACATGGACTGACCACATCTACATAAATCTAGTTAACAACTTTAATATTAAACAACAGAAAACAGCCTTATTCAAAATGGCAACTTTTACACTGTTTTCATCTGGCTTGCAGAATAATATTCAATATGTTTGACAAGAACTGATGACTATGAATTCTGAGCAATTTAAGTCATTCTGAGGAAGTCAGGTTGAAATTACATCGTGACTTTCTGAAACTTCTGATTTCAGAATAAAATCCAGATGTATCATGTTTGTATGAATATGTTGTGAGCTGCATGTTTCCATCTGCTTCCTAATCATAATGATACATTTTGAAAGCATTTATGTATAAATATACCCATATAATTATTAATATGGCAAACATTTTGACAAAATTGCTCTTTCTATGTAGATTTATTTTGTAAAAATGGAAGTTGTGCTCGTTCTTCTTCCTGTTGGTGCGGTGTGGTTTTTGTAAATTGACTCAGGAGCAGCTCCAGCACAAGATGAACCTAACTTTGCTGGACCTCGGTCCACTCTCTGCTCGGCACCATCATGAGGAGTCAGTGTAAATACTGTCACTGATTATAATGGTTGAATATTTACTGAAGAAGTTGGACCAGAGCAAAACAGCGTGGTGTAAACTGAGGGTTAAACTCCATCTACCTCTGGGCCCAACAGGGTCCAGACTCACACTCTGGGCCCCAACCCAGGCCCCCAAAAGGCCCCGGGCCGGGGGCGTGCCGCCCTCCCAGCCCCCCAGAAACTCTCTGAAACACTGACTTCTGTCAACGTTTGTAGAGACTGCACCCAGAACTACAGAAACACCTAAAACTTAGAATAAAGAAAACTGAAATGTGTCAACACAACAGACTAACAAACACAACCAGACACGGTCCATGATGCCAGACTGAAGGTGGACACCTGGGAGCAGGTGAGAGTGGGCGGGGCATGAGCTGAATGAAGTGATGATGCAGACAAAAACAAACTGCGCACAAAGAAAATAATTATAATAAATTAAAATAAACCTCAAAACAGAAAAACTAAACACATAAAAACCTGATTGTGAAATCTACATAATCTGAACAACAAAAACAACAACCAAAGAACAACTTGGAGGTACATTAAACTCCATCCAGTGAATCGGTAGATATTTCAAAATAAAGGTTTAAATATATTATAAGAATTCTCTGTTCTCYTTAACCTGCGAGAAATTCAATAAAACACCTTAAAAACAAACAGATTAAATGAAGTTCTGCTCTTGGAGTAAATTCACAAGCCTGGTCTCTTTTTAAAGATAATAATCTGAATGTTTAACTTCAGCAGTCATATTTTGTGTAATTGTAACTAGTATTGAGTTATTGACATTAAAATGCACTAAAATCAATAGATTTTTTTCTCCCTAAATGTTTATTTTTATTTTTAAAATGTCACAGGACATGAAAGGAAGGAGGTGTTGAGGAAAAAAAATAAACTGGGCTAAAATATACTGCAGGTTCCCACATATTGCCAGTTCAAATTTGGTAACAGTAGCATCAACAATGAATATTTGGGACATAATAMAATCTARCATGTCCCATTTATTTACTGGACACATGTCCAAATATGTCCAAACTGGACACTTTTTCTAAACACTGTAATTTCTAAATGCTTCAACACAGAGACTTTACTGTGGGCTCAAATTAAAGATTTATCCCAGCTGGAAAACATTCAGCAAACCTGCACCAACAAACAGCCAAAACAAAAAACAAACATAACCTCACTTTCTTCAAAGCATCACAATCCACACAGCTTGTAAAACCAGCAGCAGCATTAAATACATTTTTTTCACTTACTTTTGATGTATATTTGTCCTCAAAAAACAAATCAAAATGGCGCCCGGATGTGGTATATTCCTTCCTTTTATTAATTTTTCTGGCCACAAAAAATCACTCTTCCTCATCTCGAAGCATTCAAAACACTTCATAACAAATACATTTCCTCTTTAACAGCAGGTTTAGTCAACTAACTGTCCAGAAAATGTTTTAAAATCCATGTTTTCCATGTCYGTGTTTCTSACCACTAGAGGGAGAAAGTAGAGGTTCCCACCCCTCAAAACTGGCCACACAGCTGTGGGGTCAGAATGAAGCTCAGAGCTGATTGGTCGATTATAAAGTCAATCTAACACATGTACRGTGGGCGGGACACAAGGAGCTCGTCACACATTTTGGGCTTTGGAGAACCAATAAATGAACTCAGTTGGTCAAATAAGGTGTCAATGAAAAGAGAACARTCAATCAGATTGTTTAAATGGTTCATTATGTAAATTCAATGTCCCTGGCAGCGTGGTCAGGCTATAAAAAGCACCAGGTGTGGTACATTGCAGTTGAACTGGTTAAATGATATTAACTCAAGCTGTTTATTGAATAAAAAGACTCATTTAATGTTTCACCACAGACTGTATTGAAACAAGAAATATCTGAAACCTTACAGGGTTTTATTTTTAAAGACTCTTTATTATTACAGTTGTGGAGGTATGGGTACAGCTGTCTTTTATAGATTTTTTTGTTTGTTGTTTTGTTTGTTTTKGGGTTTTATTGTTGATCTGCTTCTCTTGTCTTTGTTCTGTGGACCTTGAGTCTATAATAAAAGTTTGATTGATTGATTATTATTTTAAACAGGATAAAAATGCAAAGCATTCATGTTTTCTAAAACTAACAAACAGGTTTAATTCTACAACATTTAATCACAAAAGAAAAAAGAATCACAGCTAATATTAACACTTCTATTAATCCTTTCACCATCACAGCCTAAAGTCTAATAAATAATAATAAACTGTGTGATCAATATCATTAGCCTAAAGGTTACTGTGATCACTGACAAAAAACAACTAAAACAGTTTCATGTAAAAGGGTTAATGTGATATTGTTCTTTATAAAGGTTTCTTCTTCTTTTGGAAGATGCTTGTGTCAGCTGGCTTCATCCACGTCACGTTAACATCTTTATCCACTCCCCGTTGAATCAGTTTCTGTCGGAGCTGAACAACAAGAAAACTCTGTCATGAAAACCATTCAATAAGAAATCAGTCCAATAAATCAGAAACTATGATGTCACTGGTTAAAACATTAAACCCAASGAGTTCCCCAAGGATCTATTCTTAGTCCCATTTATTTCCATCGTTAGAAAATGTAACGTTACATTTCCCTCTTACGCAAAGGGCACACCAATCTACCTTCTGTTGTTTATTATTATGATTATTATTATTTTTATTAAAAATACTATTTCACTGCTTCCTGAGGTAAAAGCTTGGATGACTTTAAACTTTATAAATTTTAACAAGGATAAAACCAAAGTTTTTATTTTTGCCTCAGTGGAAACTGAAGAACTTCTACAGACCTGAGCAGCCTGGAGCCATTTGTAAAATCTCATTAAAAAGATCTGGGGTGATATTTGATTCAAAATTTAACCACRAGAAACAGATTAGTTCAGTTTTATAAAGTGAAAATTCATAAACTTTTCTGGGCTCACCTTTGTCAGTAGGCCCTTCACCAAAACAGGGTCGTTCAGATTCATAGTTGAGTTTTGCACAACCTTCATTTTTATGGCTTTTTTAAAAGTGGCTTTAAAACAATAAAGACATAAAGATAAATGATTCAACACTTACAGGTAGTTGTAAAAAAACCAAAGCATTGAGATGAATGTAAAGTTTTCACCTTCACAGTAAACTCCAACATCGTTACTATGAGTACACTGATTGAGTCCAAACCCACTGTGGGAACAGTCTGACAGGTTCTTCTCACTGCCTGWACAGCCCACATCAGAAAGCCAGATGGATCCAGTTCCTGGACCAAAGTAAGCCTGAGTACGGACCCCATAAGCTTCCMTACAGCCCACCTCTCTGCAGACCACCGCAGCATCGTTCATGTCAAAGCCTTGATCACAGACGGTCCCCCAGAGCCCACCGTAGTAGACCTCCACTCTTCCTGAGCAGTTAGTGGGTCCAGCGAGTCGGACCTTCAGAGCTAACGTATGAGAGAGGAGATAAAAAGATTTATTTTATGAAACACTGACAAAAGACTCAGTTTATCTACTTTTATCTCGGTCAGAGTCTGAGTCCTGCTGTTCTCCACCACCTCGCAGAACAATCATGATGTTCTTACGTTCACAGATGGCACCAGCATCTTGACTATGAGCACAGCTTTGATACGACCATCCGTTGTGGGAACAGTTAGCCAGACTGCTTTCATTTCCTGTACAGTCTACGTTGTCCAGCCAGACCGGTCCGGTTCCTTGACCAAAGAATCCTGGAACAGGAGCATCAAAAGCCGGCCTACAGCCCACCTCTCTGCACACCGCTTTGACATCGTTTAAATCCCAGTTGGTGCTGCAGACGGTCCCCCAGGTCCCACCGTAGTAGACCTCGACTCTTCCTGAGCAGTTGGTGGGTCCAGTGAGCCGGATCTGGAAGGCTATGAAACACATGAATCAAAAATATGAGCTCAAAAACAATCTTTCTATATCATAGTAACAAAACAACTAGTCTGAACTAGATCATAATAAAAACACCAAGAACTGTCAGATAGATGATCATATGGAAAGATTTGACCTAAACATGTRAATTTTTAAAGTTTTAGTTGGAATAGAATAGAATATATCTTTATTGTCTTAACAAGTACAATGAAATTAAGTGTTCCCTGAATGACAGTGAAGATTAAACAGTTTGTGTATTTTTGTTCTGATAAAGGTCTCCTTACGGTCACAAACAACTCCAGCATCCTGACTGTGAGCACAGCTCTGATATCCAAATCTACTTCTGGGACAATCAGACAGACTGCGCTCACTCCCTGAACAGGTCAAATTAGTCAGCCAGACTGATCCAGTTCCTTCACCAAACAGAGCCTGACCCGGGGCATCGAAGGCTGGGTCACAGCCCACCTGCTGACAGACCACTTTAGCATCATCAATGTTCCAGTTGTCATCACAGACGGTCCCCCAGGTCCCAGCATAGTAGACCTCAACGGTTCCAGAGCAGTTAGTGGGACCAGAGAGTCGGATCTGGAAAGCTAGAATATAAAACATAAAGATAAAAAATATAATGTTCTGAGCTCAAATTGATTCTTGACAGTCTGTCTAACATCTGAACAAGAGTTGGAAACTCTCCATCCATCTGTTTTCTTCCTCTTATCCAGGGTCAGGTCTCAGGGGCAGCAGCCTAAGCACAGAGACCCAGACTTCCCTTTCTCCAGCCACTTGGACC